CACAATCCACTACATAAACAGAATTAAAAACAAAAATCAAATAATCATTTTAAGACAGAAAAATCATCTGATGAAATCCATCATCCCTTAACAACAAAAATCCTTAATAAAATAGGCATAGAATAATAAAATAAATAAAATCTAAAAGCCACACTTGACAAACCTATAGTCAACATCATCCTGAATAGAGAAAAGTTAAATGCATTCTCCCTCAGAACCAGAACAATGCAAGGATGCCCGCTTTTACCACTCCTATTTAACATAGTACCAGAAGTCCTAGCCAAAGCAATCAGGCAAGAAAAATAAATAACTATATCCAAATTGGAAAAGAAGAAACCAAACTATCTCTGTATGCCGACAATATGGTCATATACATAAAGAATTCTAAACACTTGCAAAGACTCCTGGACTTGATAAATGAATTCAGTAAAGTTTCAGGATACAATATCAACACACACAAGTCAGCAGCACTGCTATACACCACCAGTGACCAAGCTGAGAATCAAATCAGGAACTCAATTTCATTTTACAAGAGCAGTCCAAAAGTTAAAATACCTAGGAATTTATTTAATCACGGAGGTGAAAGATCTCTACAAGGAGACTCACAAAACACTGATCAAAGAAATTGTAGAGGACATAAACAAACGAAAAATATCCCATGTTCATGGATTGGCGGTATCAACATTGTTAAAATGACCGTATTACCTAAAGTAATAACATACAGATTCAACACAATCTCTGTCAAACTATTCTCAAAGAATTTCTCACAGATTTCTCACAGAATTAGCAAAAATAATCCTAAAATTCATAGGGCAACAAAAAAATAAATAAACAGAAAAGAGCCAAAGCAATCCTAAGCAAAAAGAACAAAGCTGGATGCATTATATTACCTGACTTCATATTATACTACAAGGCTACAGTAACCAAAAACAGCATGGTATTGGCACAAGAGTAGACATACAGAATGGAATAGAACAGAGAATCCAGAAATAAACTCAAATACCTACAACCAACCAATCTTGGACAAAGAGACAAAACCATACACCAGGTAAAAGACACACTATTCAACAAACAGTGTTTGGAAAATTAGATAGCTACATGCAGAAAAATGAAACTTTATCCCTATCTCTTACCATATATAAAAAACTAACTCAAGGTAGGTTAGACTTAAATGTCAAACTCAAAACCATAAAAATTCTAGAAGAAAGCCTAGGAAAAACTCTTCTGAACATTGGTCTAGGCAAAGAATTTGTGACTAAAACTCTAAAAGGAAATACAACGAAACAAAGATAAATAAGTTAGAGCTAATTAAATGAAAAAGCTTCTGCATGGCAATAGTAATAATCAATAGAGCAAATAGGCAACCAATAGAATGAAAGAAGATATTTACAAACTATACATCTGACAAAGGACTAATAACCAGAGTCAACAAAGAACTCGAACAAATCAGAACAAAAAGCAAATAACTCCATTAAAAAATGAGCAAATGGTCGGGTGCAGTGGCTCAAGTCTATAGTCCCGCACTTTGGGAGGCTGAGGCAAGAGAATTGCCTGAGTCCAGGGGTTTGAGACCAGCCAGGGCAACTTAGTGAGACCTCCTCTCTACAATAAATCAAAAAATTAGCCAGACTTGGTGGCACGTGCCTGTAGTCCCAGCTACTTGGGAGGCAGAGGCAGAAGGAGTGCCTGAGCCCAGCAGGTCGAGGTTACAATAGCCATGAATATGCCACTGCTCTCCAGCCTGTGTGGCAGAGTGAGACTCTGCCTCAAAACAAGTGAGCAAATGACATGAATGGACATCTCTCAAAAGATTACAAATGGCCAACAAACATATTAAAAAAATGCTCACCATCACTAGTCACCAGGGAAATTCAAATTAAAACCACAATGAGATACTACTTTATACCTGTTGGGTTCAGGCAATCCTTCACTTTAGCCTTCCAAGTAGCTGAAACTACAATACCTTGCTAATTTTTTGACTTATTGTAGAGACAGGGTCTCCCCATGTTGCCCAGGCTGGTCTCAAACCCATGGGCTCAGGCAGTCCTCTTGCCTCTGCCTCCCAAAGTGCTGGGATTACACGCGTGAGCCGCCACACCCAGCTGAATAACCATTACTAAAAAAATCGAAAAACAACAAATGTTGGCACAAATGTGGTGAAAGGGGAACACTTATACACTGTTGGTGGGAGTATAATTAGTACAACCTCTGTGGAAATCGATATCAGGATTTCTCAAAGAGCTAAAAGTAAATCTATCACTTGATTAAAAAAATAAGCCGGGCTCGGTGGCTCAGCCTGTAATCCCCCGCCTTTGGGAGGCTGAGGTGAGTGGATTGCCTGAGCTCGCGAGTTCAAGACCCGCCTGGGCAACATGGCGAGACCTCATCTCTACAATAAATCAAAAAATTAGCCGGGCGTGGCAGCATGCGCCTGTAGTTCCAGCTACTTGGAAGGCTGAGGCGGAAGGATCGCCGGAGCCCAGCAGGTCGAGGCTGCGGTGGCTGGGAGCAACCACTGCACTCCAGTCTGGGTGAAAGAGTGAGACTCCAGCTCAAAAAAAAAAAATAGAGATTGCTATACAAAAGAGACACCTGCACTTGCATGCATATTGCACAATTCACAATTGCCAAGATGTGAAATTAACTTAAATACCCATGAACAGATCAGCAGATAATAAAAATGTGGTGTATATACACCATGGAATACTATTCAGCCATAAAAATAATGAAATAGGCTGGGCTCGGTGGCTCAGCCTGAAATCCCACGCTTTGGGAGGCCAAGGTGAGTGGATTGCCTGAGCCCGCGGGCTCGAGACCCACCTGGGCAACTTGGCGAGACCTCACCTCTACAATAAATCAAAAAATTAGCCGGGCGTGATAGCACACACCTGTAGTTCTGGCTACTCGGAAGGCTGAGGCAGAAGGATCGCCGGAGCCCAGCAGGTCGAGGCTGCGGTGGCTGGGAGCAACCACTGCACTCCAGTCTGGGCGGCAAAGTGAGACTTCAACTCAAAAAAAAAAAAAAAAAAAAAGAAAGAATATATTTTGCTGCAACTTGGATAGAATTAGAGAACATCATCCTAAGTGAAGTAACCGAGAACAGAAAACCAAACACCACAATGCTCTCATGTATAAGTGGGAACTAAACTAAGGCATATGGAATGCTATCATGGACACTGGAGACTTGGAAGGGGAATTATGGGCCGGGGTGGAGGGATAAAAAATCACCGTATCAGGTACAATGTGCACAGGTGGGGTTGGTAGGTACACTTAAAGCCCAGACTTTGCCATTATACAATGCAACCATGTAACCAAAAACTATTTGTACCCTCAAACCCCTAAAACGATTGAAATAAAAAGAAAATAAAATGTAACAAAGAAAATATTTCCAAACTATTTATCTGGCAAATGACTAGGAATTTAAATATATTTAGAAATTTAAAGGAGTTAGATCTTAAATATATATATATATTTAGATAGATAGAGAGATAGATATTTTTTTTGAGTTGGAGTCTCACTCTGTTGCCCAGACTGGAGTGCAGTGGCCGCTCCCGGCCATCGCAGCCTCGCCTACTGGGCTCCGGTGATCCTTCCGCCTCAGCCTTCCGAGTAGCCGGAATTACATGCATGCGCTACCATGCCCGGCTGATTTTTTGATTTATTGCAGAGATGAGGTCTCGTTGCCCAGGCGGGTCTCGAACCCACGGGCTCAGGCAATCCACTCACCTCAGCCTCCCAAAGGCGCGGGATTACAGGCTGAGCCACCGAGCCCGGCTTCTTAAATATATTTTTAAAAAACTCTAAAATCCAACCACTAGCCTAGGCAACATATTGGGACCCCATTTCTACAAATTTTTTTTTTTAATTAGGCAGCCATGGTGGCATATACCTATAGTCCCAGTTACTGGGGAGGCTGAGGTGGGAGGATCACTTGGGCCCAGGAGTTCAAGACTATAGTGGGCTATGATCATACCACTGCCCTCTAGCTTGGGTGAGCTAGAGAGACCCTATTTTAAAACAAACAAACAAAAAAAACCCCTCAACTACAGGAAAACAATCGATGCAACAAACAAAAACAGGCATGCGATTTGGACACAAGCTTCACCCATGAAGACACATGGATAATAAATAAGCATAAAAATAGATGATCCTTATCTTAGGCATTAGGAAAATGCACATTAAAAGCACAATTATAATAACTACTTATATACTTATTAGAACGGTTAAAAAAACCTGAGAATATCAATTACTGACAAAGCTGAAGAGCAACTGGAACTCTTATCATTGCTGGTGGAAATGCAAAACAGTGCAGTCACTCTGGTTAAAAGTTTGGTAGTTTCTTACATAATCACACACACATTTATATAATGAGTAACCAAACACCTTCCTAGATATTTTCTACAAAAAATATGTTCACACAGAATGCTATATATAAATGCTTATAGAAGCATTATATATAAAATTGTCAAAAACTGGAAACCATCCAAATGTCCATCAATAGCAAGTAGGATAAACAAATTTAATTCCATAAAATGAAATACTTCTCAGCAATACAAAAGAATCCTCTTCTAATATTCAAAATGACACAAATGATTTCAAAGCATGCTGAGTAAAAAAAAGTCAAATGCAAAAGAATAGATAATAATGTAACATTCCATTTATATGAAGTTCAAGAATAGACAAAAATGATATATGATGATGGACATAATAACAGCAGCTGCCAGAGGCAGACGATGAAGGTAATAGATCTGAAAAGTGCATAAACGTGATGGATACGTTCAGTTTCTTGATCTAGATTATGATTACACAAGTAAATATATTTGACAAAATTCATTGAGCTCATTTAAAAGTTGTGTACTTTATTGTTTATAAATTATACTCAATAAAGTACTATTAGCCTCATCACTATATCTATTTTATCAAGGTATTATTCCATCATCTCTCCCTTTTTAAAAAAATATTACATCCTTAAACTAAGTTTGACTGTTTATTTTCTTTACCTGAAGCATGTTGTTCCATTCTCTTTTATTTTATTTTTCTGAATAGGAAATGCTTGAAGCGACAAATTTTTATTTCCAGACAGAGTAATTTGCTTTAGAATGGAAGCTATAAAAACAGAACAAGAAAGAAAAAAGTAGACTACAAAAAAAGCAATCGTACCACATTAGGAAAAATTCAGGACAACAGTTTTTAATATATATAGAATAATCAGAAAAAACTTCAAGCTGCCTTAGAACAATGCTTAAATTCAAACATGACAACGAATATACTTCCCTTATAAGAAATGATCTTATAAAATAAAGATATCTCCATTTCTTTTTAGATGGTCTCAAGCTGCCTACAGAATTAGCAATATTATTTTTAAAAATCATCAACAAAAGGTGACTAAAACATGTTAATATTTTATAATGCTGTATTTTAAAAACACATAAAAGTTTTACCTTACATATGTAAGCCTGATTTCCAAGCTTAAAGAACTATATTTTAAGAAAAAAATAAAACTACAGCAAATTTTATGAGTCAAAAAGTCCTTATTTACTAGACTATTGTACCTAATTACGGAATATTAGGAGTGGTTGTCCCTTTTATTCCAAACTAACATATAACCCTTACAAAGTATCTGTATGTACAAAAAAGAGTTCTCTTTCAGTCTTCTCTCACAGGTGCCAATTTTAAAGGACCAAATCTCTCTTCTCTTAATACAACAACAACCAAGTTATGGGAAACCCTTTTCATGTTCTGAAACCCGTGTAATAGGGCTGGGATGGGACAGTGTTTACCTGGAGGAAACTGACTGGTAGGTATGACAGTGTTCACTGGCATCGTCTTCTGTCCAGGTTTCTGGATGGTCAATGCTGAGGAATGGGAAAGTGTAGTCACTTGTTTTGCAATGCCTCCAGAAGGACACTGAACTACCTGAAACAATGAGAACAGTCAATACAGTCTTTTAACTTATGTAGCTTTAGAAAAGGACAAGCTTTCAGTTTTAACAATGGATTGTGCTCACCCAGCCTTAAATATGCCTTTATCTTAGCATAATAAGAATGCCAATTAAAATTTAAATCTGTATGCAGTAAAATTATCTTGTTCAAAAGCGAAAAACACAGCTGTCGTACACATTAACCATTATTTTCTAGAGTGGAATTTATACTTACATTCCACAGTGCTCAATTTAAATATCCATATGAATCCTATTTCCATTTAACTTATCTTGGAAAATTTCAAACATACACAAAAGTAGAAAGAATAAAATGAAACCACCTATACCACTACCCAGCTTCAACATAATTAATTCTTGGTCAAATTTATTTCATCTATACACCTCTCCACTTCCCTGACCCTCAATTATTTTTAAAGGAAATCTCAGATATATCTTTTTATCCATAAATATTTCTTGGGGGTTTTTTTTTGAGTCAGAGTCTCACTCTGTCACCCAGGCTGGAGTGCAGTGGCACAATCACTGCTTTCCACAGCCTTGGCCTCCTGGGCTCAGGTGATCCCTCTGCTTCAGTCTCCCAGATAGCTTAGACTACAGGTGAGCACCACAATGCCCAGCTAAGTTTTTTATTTTTTTGTAGGGGTGAGGTCTTGCTATGTTGCCTAGAATGGTCTTGAACACCTGAGATCAAGCAATCCGTTCTCCTCGGCCTCACAAAGTGCTGGGATTGCAAGTGAGACACTGCGCCCAACCTATCTTTTTACCCATGAATATCTCAAAATGTAGCTCTAAAAGATAAGGACTTAAGTGTCATTTAGAAGTATTTTCTTAAGCCATTTGGAAAGTGAAAATGCTAAGGCATTCTTGAGGAAAACCATTCAAGAAATCAAGAGGGTGAGGGTTGGGAATAAAGGAAGAGAAATTAAAGTAATAGCAGGGCCTTACTTGTAGCATCAAAGCAAAAGAATCGTAGAGTGTCATTTTGTCACTTCAAAGTGAAAACAGTCATTATGTGTTTGAGCCAGCTATTGATAGTGAACTATTTAGAACTAAACTCCTATATGGCTAATATAAACGAGTCATGGTCATAGCAGGAAACAGACTTATGCACAAAAATTTGAGAGTACAATTTAGTCAACTTTCTAATATCCTGTAAATAAAATTTAAAAGTCTAATGTGTATTACTAAAATTAAAAGGTAACACAAAATGTCCTGGTAAGTAATCCTATAGGAACTAGTACACCTAGAGAAGAAGTATGTTAGAATAATTCAATTGATTTATTCTTTGAAATAAGAAAGAATTCCTTTAAAAATACTATATTCTGCTGGGCACAGTGGCTCGCTCCTGTAATACTAGCATTTCGGGAGATAGAGGTGAGAGGAATGCCTGAGCCCAGAAGTTCGAGTCCAGCCTGGGCAACTTGGCAAGACCTCATCTTTACAATCAATCAATCAGTCAATCAAACAAACAAACAAACAAAATAGTGGGCCATGGTGGTATGTGCCTGTAGTTCTGGTTATTTGGAAGGATGAAACAGAAGGATTGCCTGAGTCCAGCAGGTCGAGGCTGCAGTGGCAATGATCATGCCACTGTGCTCTAGCCTGGGCGACAGAGTGAGACTCTGACTCAAAAAAAAAAAAAAAAAGATACATTCCAATGAAACTGAGATCATACTCATGCACTGTAATGCTAGGGATTAGATTTAAATTATACAAAGGATATACATTCAGAGGTCCATTTGTGCATTCAGACTGGAACTCAAGAGAAACACTATCAACACTTCCTGCTTATTGCCCTATTGTTTGAATCTTCCTCCTTGACACTTTGTTAGGTATTATTTTCAGTATTTTAATTATGAAAGACAGTAACATTATTAGAAAATTGTTTACCAGTGTGAAAGCTGTCAGAATAAAAATGAAGTCACTTGTGCTTTTTGGATTTTAAAAAAAACAACAACACTGACAAACAGAGCTGGCAAAGAATAAGAAAGACTTCTTATGCTAGAATATCTGATGATAAAAAGTATCACAAAAGGCTGCCAAAGTCATAACCTTGCATAAAGGCCATCTCAACCTTATATGAAAAGTTCTTCTGCAAGGACATCTGCTCATCAACTGCTTGTCTAATCTTGGACTGACGTCACTGTTGTTACTGATCTTTGTAGCCAAGGATAATCATTTCAAAACAATTATGCAATTCCTCTCACTTTTCTTCCAAAACCTTTGCCTTCCTTTACTCCAAAGGCTAAGGCAGGAGGATTCCTTGAAGCCAGGAGTTCAAGACCACCCTGGACAACATAGTAACACTCCATCTCCAAAAAAAAAGTAAAAACTTAGCTGGGTGTGGTGTCTGGCACCTGGAGTCCCACCTACTCAGGAGACTGAGACGGGAAGATTGCCTAAGTGCAGGAGATTGAGGCTGTAGTTAGCCATAATCTTGCCACTGTATTCCAGCCTGGGAGACAGAACAAGACTGTGAGTCTTTAAAAAACAAAAACAAAAGCTTTTGGTAAACTCCCTGAATAAACACATAGTTTACTATGGTATTTCTATTCTCACTGCAATGCTCTATTCCCAAATAATTATGTTTCCTTTAGGGAGCCTCTCACTCTTATTAAAATTGGCACCAGTTAGTCTTCATACCATTTTTGATGAGTACACAAAAATATAACACAGTTTTGAGCTGGGACTTAACAACCCTAAATCCTCTTCTCATCTTAATGACTGTAGCACCTGGGGCAATATATGTACCTAGTCCAAAAAAATACAGGCAGCATATTCCTGCACACCTGCTGGACAAAAGAAAATGAGTGATAACATGTAAGAGAATTCATTAGTGCTCTTTCAAAGAAAATACCACATAAAACCACAGTATTAGGCATCTTATGGAGATTGAAATTCCTTTAGAGAGATAGAAATTAGCTCAAAGAAGAGAAATTTGCTTCTGTGTATCAAACAAAAAAGAAAGCACTGTTATGTTCTTTAAAAACTGAGTTGCTTTTTGTTTTTTTTTTTTTTGAGTTGGAGTCTCACTCTGTCACCCAGACTGGAGTGCAGTGGCTGCTCCCAACCACTGTAGCCTCGACCTGCTGGGCTCCAGCGATCCTTCCACCTCAGCCTTCCAAGTAGCTGGAACTACAGGCGAGTGTACCACGCCCAGCTAATTTTTTTATTTATTGTAGAGATGAGGTCTCGCCAAGTTGCCCAGGCGGGTCTCGAACCTGCGGGTTCAGGCAATCCACTCACCTCAGCCTCCCAAAGCACGGGATTACAGGCTGAGCCACCGAGCCCGGCTAAAAAAAACGGAGCCTTTTAGGCTGGGCGCAGTGATGCACGTCTGAAATCCCAATACTTTGTGAGGCCAAGGCAAGAGGACTGCCTGAGCTCAGGGGTTCGAGACCAGCCTGGACTACTTGACGAAACCTCGTTTCTACAATAAACCAAAAAATTAGCCAGGTGTGGCAGTGCATGCCTGTAGTTCCAGCTAGTTGGTAGGCTGAGACAGAAGAATCACCTGAGCCCAGCAGGTCAAGGCTGTGGTGGCTGTGAGCAGCATGTCACCTCCAGCTTGGGTGACAGAGTGAGACTCCTACTCAAAACAAAAATTGAGTCTTTCGCAAGGTGCGGAGGCTCATGCCTATAATCCCAGCACTTTGAGAGGCCAAGGTGAAGACTGCTTGAGCCTAGGAGTTTGAAACAAGCCTGGACAACATAGCATGACCCCATCATTACAAAAAACAAAAAATAAAAATTAGCAGGGCATGGTGATGAGTACCTGTAGTCTCAGTCACTTGGGAGACTGAGGTGGAAGGATCACCAAGCCCAGAAGGTCAGGGTTACAGTGAGCTAAAACAGCATCACTGCACTTCAACCTGGGCAAGAGAGCAGAATCCTATGTTTAAAAACAAATAACAAAAGTGTATTATCAGATTTTGTTACACTTTTTTTCTCATCGAAATTATTTATGATGTACAACAAATGAAATCTATTAAATGAAAATGTGGCCAAGATATTATTACCAGTTTACTGCTTCAGGCATTCTAGAAACCCAGAAGTTCTTGCCAGAGTACCAACAAAACAGAATAGAAAAGTTACTGGTTCCTAATCTGAGATCCATTACTTGACTGTCACTAGATGGGTCCACTTGGAATATGTGGATTCTTTGTCTTCTCCCTGCCCTTTTCTCATCATAAAATTATTTTAAAAACCACAGCACATAAATGACACACTGTAAAATCTCTATGTAAAGTATTATTTTACCTCCGGACCTACATGTTACAGATGTACAATAAAGATTAGCATGATTCAAGAATCAGCTATGAAACAAAAAGAGGATTTCAATTTTGTTCAGCTCCACCAAAAAGAGGCCTTTCCTTGGGAGCAATTCCTCTGTTCCAATGGTTCCCAAACCTGGCTACCCAGAATGATGTTTAAGAATCACTGCTTCAGCTGGGCTCGGTGGCTCAGCCTGTAATCCCAGCACTTTGGGAGGCCGAGGCGAATGGACTGCCTGAGCTCGCGAGTTCAAGACCAGCCCGGGCAGTGAGACATCGTTTCTACAATAAATCAAAAATTAGCCGGGTGTGGTAGTGCACCCCTATAGTTCCAGCTACTTGTTAGGCTGAGGTGGAAGGATCGCCAGAGCCCAGCAGGTCGAGGCTGCGGTGGCCGGGAGTGGCCACTGCACTCCAGTCTGGGTGACAGAGTGATACTCCAACTCAAAAAAAAAAAAAAGAATCACTGCTTCTAGCCAGGCTTGGTGGCTCAGCCTGTAATCTCGCACTTTGGGAGGCTGAGGTGAGTGGATTGCCTGAACCCGGGGGTTCGAGACCCGCCTGGGCAACTTAGGGAGACCACATCTCTACAATAAATCAAAAAATTAGCTGGGTGTGCTAGCACGCGCCTGTAGTTCCAGCTACTTCCAAGGTGAGGCGGAAGGATCGCCGGAGCCCAGCAGGTCGAGGCTGCAGTGGCCGGGAGTGGCCACTGCACTCCAATCTGGGCGACAGAGTGAGACTCCAACTCAAAAAAAAAAAAAAAGAATCACTGCTTCTAAAAATATTTTATCTCTGAGATTGAATTCAGTCACCCAAGAGAAATCCTGCAAAGCAGTTACAAATTTCCATTTGAAAATCAGACCCAGAATAGGAAGGGATGAGAAAAGATTATTACCCAGGAAATGATGACAACTTTCCACCTACCCAAGAGTTTGACTACTCTCCAATTCTGGTGACTAATCGACTTATTTTGTGCTATGACAAAAGTTGGTCTTTTGCCTCAGAAGACAATCATCCACAGATATTTCTTATTTTGATCACCCAAACAAGACTGAGATATCTATAAAGTTTACTATCTCAAGAAGCAGAATGAACCAAAACAAACAGATATAAAACACAGACTCCAATACAAAGGGCTACAAAAAAAAAAGGAATCACCAAAAATCAAAAGAATGGTGAGTTCTGTTATGGCAAAAGGTAAGGAAGAACTTTACTAAAAAAAAATTATGATTTCTAATTAATTCACCACGTTTATATCTCCCACATATTAATGATACTTTCATAGTCCACTGATAAAACTTGTCTTTTCTTAAATAAAGACTATTCTAAACACTAAATTGACAAATAGTTAAAATTTCCTTCTTTCACCCAAGAACTTCCCAATCTACCAAGTTTAGAAAAAGACACACCATCTTACTCATATATCCCCTCACTACCTTCCTCTCGCCTCAGCATTTTTCATTTAAAGAAATGTTACCACAATACCATCTCCATAATAACTCCGTCAAAAATATTTAACCTGAATCTAAGCTTGAGAAAACAACCAGACGAAACAAACTATAGGAACATTCTGCAAAACAACTAATCTGGACACTTAAAGCATTATAACATAACAACTACAAAAAGGTTGAAAACTCTTCTAGATTTCAAAGAGCCAAAGAGCCAGGCATGGTGGCTCATGTCTATAATCTATAATCCCAGCACCTTGGGAGGCTGAGGTAGGAGGACTGCTTGAGCCCAGAATTTAAGACCAGCCAAGGTAACACAGCAAGACCTTGTCTCTACAAAAAAGGAAAAGATTAGCTGTATAGATGGCATGCGCCTATAGTCCCAGCTACTCAAGAGGCTGAGGTGGAAGGATCGCCTGAGCCCAGTAGGTCAAGGCTGTGGCGAGCCATGATTGTGCCACTGCACTCTAGTTTGGGTGACAGAATGAGACTCCAATTCAGAAAAAGAAAAAAAGAGACTAAAGAGATATGTCAACTAAACATAATATGCAATTATTCATTAGGAACAAGACCAGAAAAAAAAAAGCTCTAAAATGATATTATTGGGGCAACGGGGGAAATATTAATTTCCCCTTTGTGCCAAATATGTTGTGGTTATAGAAAAATAAACACTTTTTAAGAGACACATACACTGTGCACTGTCAAAATTTTTTCAACTAATTCTCAAATGTTCAGCAAAAACATATGTATGCTTTTGGATATAAGTAGCAAGAGGGAGACAAAACAAATGAGGTAAAAAATTAACAACTGGTCAAACCTGGCAAATGGTATACAGCCTTGCCAGTTTTTTACAAGTCTTGCTGGTTTTCTGATGGTTTTAAATTTTCAAATAATTGAGCAAGAAATGAAATGTTACTCACTAGCTGCTTGACTTTAACTGCCTGTGGAATCCCAGTTGATTGTGAAAGGACAGGACCTGACTGGGCAAGTCTGATCTGGATTGGAGCGCCGATGATGGGCTTGTCAGTTGTGGTCCGAGCAGAAGTAACAACAGGTTTCACAGATGGAAGACATATAGCTGCAGCTGAAGTTTCTCCAAAAGTTACTGTTGGAAGGGCTAGCGTTACAGCTGTTCCAGAGGCAACTGGCTTTTCGGGCTGCAGTGCAACTGCTGTCACTGTGTTTGGTACAGATGTCACAAGTGGTTTTGAAGTCTGAAGCAAAACAGTTCCAGCTGTTGTTCCTCCTGGTACAGCAGCTGGGCCCACAGAATGAAGTGCCACAACTCCAGCTTTTGCTCCCCCTGGACCAACAAGTGGGTTCAGAGTTTGCAGTGACACAGTTCTGGGTGTTGTTGCTCCAGAAACAACAACAGACTTTTCAGACTGGATTGAGGAAACTGTTGATGTAACCACAGGAGAAGTGGCTGTAGCACAGGTAGGAATGACCAACACCTCGCTAGAAGTCTGCTGAACACACTGTTGAATGAAGCTCTGGGAGTTAGGCAGAAGTCGTCGTAAGGCAATCACACTTTTCTAGAAACAGAGGGAAGGAAAGAAAAAACACTGATAACTAAACACAATGCTAAAAAAATACATTGGCTACTAGTAAAATAAAATTTTGTATTTCCTATCCTTACAACATAAAGTCAACCAAAAGTACAGCAAGTATTTCAGCTGAAGACACCTGATAACACTTATTTACATCCTGTCATTAACAAGGATAAAATCAAATGGAAGCCCCAAAGTGCTTTATTTTTCAATATGAAATTACTATGTCTCAGGATTAAACTTGTTCTGTATACCTCAATATCAATTTGGCAATATAAAACATTGTATCACACGTTTCTATAACCATCTAAACCCCACAACAGATCATTAATGACTTCACTGTAAGTTTATTTACACCATAGCAGGACCTAGCTCTTTTTGTTAAATAACTTTCAAACTTTGGATAGAGATAGTCCTTACATCAAAGTAAAATTAATACAAAGGGAATTTTAGGATCTGAAAGAATTTCCTTAGTTGAGTTAGCATATTTTCTAACTGGATTTTAAGTCAATGTCTATCTTTATATCCTACTGAAACAGTGAAGGCAATAAAAACTAAAAACTGGCAGGTTCTATCTTTTCATGTCTGGGATTTTGTTTGTTTTGCATAAGAAAAAAGATACAAAGATAGATAAATAGTAGGTCATCTTCCTGGTTGATGGAAGAGTTCCTTGTTGCTAACTTAAATTTAATCTGCCTACAATAAGTTAGTAACAATGGAAGTAATAAATACATACATACATACATACATACATACATAAAACTGCAGTCCTTAAGAAACAAATATTGCTCCTTTTGTTTTAGTCATAAAAAAAATTGAGTACATTCTCATCTGAAGAGATTTTCAAAAAATATCTATAAAATGGTAACAAAAGGAAGTAAAAAGCAAAAACTCCCTCATAATCTTTTTACAAAATTTTTAAATAGCAGAAAACGAACTGCTTTGGAAATACATGAACAAATAATTTAAGTAAGCTTAAACAAGAAATCTAAGAAAAGGAGAATTCTCAGAAAAACCTAATTGTACAAAAAAAATTAATGAGACGTAAAGAGACAACCATATAAATGTATATCTATATTACCTCCTGCTTACCTTGAATGCCAAATCCCCCATCCCTATGCAAAATCCAAAAGCTCTCAAGGAAAAATTCTCAAGAAAAAAAGAAAAGCATAAGAATGAATAGATTCCTAGAAAGCCAATACAAAGTAAAATGCTTCATGGTAATAATTGGTAACTTAAAGTTAGTGCTATCTAGCAAGTAGAATCAGGTAGCCTAAATTCTGGACCTGTTAGTTTGATCAAAGTATGTCAATTCAAATAGTTTTCTCATCTCTAAAATGGAAAATACTGTATTGTATCACCTAGCATTTAGTCTTAAAAGACTGATATAAAAATTAAGTGTAAATAATGCAAATTAAATATAAAGTATCTAACAATGCATCTGACACACAGTAGGTGGTGACTAACTTTCCTCCTTCTCCACACTGTATCCAAAGAGAATTAAACATACATAAACTCAAGAGAGTTGTCGTTACGATGTATAGCACCTATATATAAAGCTCACAGAACCTTTGCACTGGAAGTGAAAGAACTGTCTATAACTTTTCCAATATTCAGAAAAAGGGCAAGAGTTGTTTCACAAAATAGTACATCACGTTTTTAGAAAAATCTATCCAATCCTAGTTATGGGCTTCCTCTAGAAGTATAAAGGCCAAATCTCTTTCATGTAGATGAGCTTAAAACACACATATATTAGGTATTGTGCTGGTCTTTCAGTCTTCTCTTCCCCAAACCAAGCCTTCTCTGGTAAAAACATTCTCAGTTTCTTTAGCTATACTTCATGTCACATGATGAGGACCTTCCTAATGAATGTGATCACCCTCTCAGAGACAGTTTCCACCATTTTAATTGCCATATGAAAATGTAGCGCTGGCAGGACGTGATGGCTCACGCCTGTAATCTCAGTACTTTGGGAGGCAGAGATGACAGGATAGCCTGAACTCAGGGGTTTGAGACCAGCCTGAGCAACATGGCTAGACTTTGTCTATACAATAAATTAAAAAATCTGCCGGGCATCGTCGCACATGCCTGTGCTTTCAGCTACTTGGAAGGCTGAGGCGGAGGGATCATCTGAGCCCAGTAGCTCAAGGCTGTGGTGGCTGTGAGCGGGTCACTGTACTCCAGCCTGGGTGACTGAGTGAGACTCCAACACCAAAAAAAAAAAAAAAAAAAGGTAGCATCCTATCTTCCTTCCCTGAGTTAACAAAAGGAGTCTTCCATTATGAAGCCTCTTTCACCTCCCCTACACAATTAACCCAATATTTTCTAAAGGTAACTTCTCATTTTATTATTTCAATATTTGAGACAAGTCTTTGTTTCACAATAGCCCTGGGTCTTTAATGATTTAATAAATTTCAATTTGATTCCTTTTCAACCTCTGAATATCTAAAAGAAATATATATTTCTAAAGTCTGCCAAAGCTGGCTCTTTTTATCAAAGTTACTGTTCTCCATCAAAATTGTATTCAACTCAATTAACTGTAGAGAAGAGCATACTTAACAATGTAAATTAATTTTTAAAAAATAATAGTCTTCCCACCAAATTTGGCATCATGTGGTTTATTATTGTAAGGGAATAAGAATCAATAGAAGGTCCTAATTTCTCACACAGACACAAAGTCAAGAAGCTTTGAGCAACACCTCTCTTGCTTTATTGTTCTTTGCCTTATTGTGCTTCATAGATATGCATTCTGTTTAGTTTTGTTTTGTTTTACAAACTGAAAATTTATGGCAACTCTCAACACCATTTTTCCAACAGCAAATGCTCACTTCCTGTCTCTATGTCACATTTTGGTAGTTCTTGCAATATTTCATCTTTCATTATTATGTATCTGTAATATGTTTTGTGTTCAGTGATCTTTGATGCTACTATTATAACTGTTTCCAGATACCAGACCCACAGCTATACATAAGATGAAGAACTCAACAATGAATATTGTGTATATTCTTTCCGCTCCTCTGACTGGCCACTCCCCATCTCTCTCTCTCCCCTCAGGCCTCCCTATTCCCTGAGACACAGTTACATGTATACGTATATGTATATGTATACATATATATATTTTTTTGAGTAGGAGTCTCACTTTGTCACCCAGGCTGAAGTGCAGTGGTACACTCACGGCCACCGCAGCCTCGACCTGCTGGGCTCAGGTGATCCGTCTGTCTCAGCCTTCCAAGTAGCTGGAACCACAGGCACATGTCATCACACCCAGCTAATTTTTTTGATTTATTGTAGAGACCAAGTCTCACCAAGTTGCCCAGACTGGTCTTGAAACCCTAGGCTCAGGCAATCCTCTCACCTCAGTCTCCCAAAATACAGGGATTATAGGCGTGAGCCACTGCATCCAGTCAACACAACAATATTGATATGAGGCCAATTAATAATCTTACAATGCCCTCTAAGTGTTCAAGAGAAAGGAAGAGTCACACATCTTTCATTTTAAGTCAAAAGCTAGAAGTGGTCAAACTTAGTAATGAAGGCATGCCAAAAGTCAAAACAGGTGCAAAGCTAGACTTCTAGTGCCAAACAGCCAGGTTGTGAATGCAAAGGAAAAGTTATTGAGGGAAATTAAAAAGTACTACTCTAGTGAGTACACAAGCAATAAAGTGAAACAGCCTTATTACTGATATGGAGAAAGTTTTAGTGATCTGGATAGAAGATCAAACTAACCAAAACATTCCCTTAAGTCAAAATCTAATCCACAGCAAGGTCCTAACTCTCTTCAATTTTATGAAGGATGAGAGAGGTGAGAAAGCTGCAGACGAATGGAGCTAACAGAGATTGGTTTGTGAGATTTAAGGAAAGAAGCTATCTCCATAACATAAAAGTGCAAAGTGAAACAGCAAGTGCTTATGTAGAAACTGCACATGTAAGAATAAACACACAAGCCGGGCTCGGTGGCCCAGCCTGTAATCCCAGTGCTTTGGGAGCCTGAGGCGAGTTGAGCCGGCGGGTTCGAGACCCGCCTGGGCAACTTGGCGAGACCTCATCTCTACAATAAATCAAAAAAATTCAGCCGGGCGTGGTAGCGCCTGCCTGTAGTTCCGCTACTCAGAAGGCTGAGGCGGAAGGATTGCCAGAGCCCAGCAGGTCGAGGCTGCAGTGGCCGGGAGCGGCCACTGCACTCCAGTCTGGGTGAGAGTGAGACTCCAACTCAAAAAAAATTTAAAAAATTTAAAAAGAGTAAATACACATTAAAAAAAAAAAAAAATTACAAAAAAACCCCAGAAACTGAAGCAAGTTATCCAGAAGCTCTAGCTAAGATCATTGACGGAGGTGGCCACACTAAACAATAGATTTTCAATGGAGACAAAAGAGTTTTCTATTGAAAAAAGATGCCATCTAGGACTTTCCTAGTTTTTCATAGAAGGGAAGTCAATGCCTGGCTTCAAAGTTTCAAAGAACAGCCTGACTCTCTTGTTAGGGGATAATGTAGTGAGGACTTTAAGTTGAAGCCAATGCTCACCTACAACTCTGAAAATTCTAGGACCCTTAAAAAGTATCCTAACTCAACTCTGCTTGTGCTTTAGCAATGAAAAAAACCAAGCCTGGATGACAGCATATCTGTTTACAACACAGTTTATTGAGTATTTTAACCTCACTGTTGAGACCTACTCAGAAAAAAAGATCCCTTTCAAACTATTACTGCTCATTGACAGTGTACCTGGTCACCCAAGAGCTCTGATGGAGATGTTCAAAAAAGATTAATGTTGTTCTATGTCAACTGATATAACATCCATTCTGCAACCATGGATCAGGGAATAATTTGTAATTTCAAGTCTTATTATTTCAGAAACACATTTCACAAAGACTATAGTTAGCTGGGTGCAGTGGCTCATGCCTGTAATCCCAGCACTATGGGAGGAGGAGACAAAAGGATTGTCTGAGTCCAGAGGTTCAAGATCAGCCTGGGCAACTTGGTAAGACCTCATCTTTACAATAAATCAAAAAAATTAGCTGGATGCGGTGATGCATGCCTGTAGTTTCAGCTACTTGGGAGGCTGAGGCAGAAGGATTGCCTGAGCCCAGCAGTTCAAGACTACAGTGGCTGTGAGCATGCCACTGCACTCTAGCCTGGGCAACAGAGTGAGACTCATTCAAAAAAAAAAAAAACTACAGTTGCCATAGAGAGTAATTCCTCTATTGGATCTAGACAGAGTAAATTGAAAGCCTTCTGGAAAAGATTCACCATTCACCATTCTACAAGCCATTAAGAATATTTGTGACTCATGGGAAGAGGTCAAAACATCAACATTAACAGCAGTTTGCAAGAAGTTGATTCCAACTCTCATGAATGACTTTGAGGGGTTCAAGACTTCAGTGAAGGAAGTAAATGCAGATGTGGTGGAAATAGCAAGAAAACTAGAATTAGAAGGAGTCTGAAGGTGTGACTGAATTGTTGCAATCTCATGATAAAAGTTGAATGGGAATGAAGAGTTGCTTCTTATGGATGAATATAGAATGTGGTTTCTTGAGATGAACTCTACTCCTGGTGAAGACGCTATGAATGTTGCTAAATGACAACAAAAGATTTAGAATATATTGGTACAAGAATAGGCATACAGACCAATGGAGTAGGATAGAGGTTCCAGAAGCAAAGTCTCAATTTCTCAACCAACTCATCTTTGACAAAACCTCCAGCAACAACCACTGGGGAGAGGAGAACCCATTCAGTAAATGGTGCTGGGAAAACTGTCTGATCACATGCAGAAGATTGAAACAAGACCCCCTACATATCACCATACACAAAAATTAACTCTAAATCGATCAAGGACCTAAGTGTAAAACCTCAAACTATAAGAATCTTAGAAAATGCAGAAGACACTCTTATGGAAATTGGAACAGGCAACCAATTCCTGATCATAAACCCAAGTGATAAGATAGACATAAGAGGTAAGATAGACAAGTGGGACCTCATCAAACTGACAAACTTCTGCAAAGCAAAAGAAACCATCAAGAGAGTGGGCAGACAACCTACAAAATGGGAAAAATTTTTTGCCAACTGAATATCTGGCAAAGGCCTAATACCCAGGATCTACAATGAACTCAAATGTGTCGAAAGGAAAAAAACAAACAGTCCCATTAAAAAGTAGACAAAAGGCTAGATTCAGTGGCTCAGCCTGTAAACCCAGCACTCTGGAAGGCTGAGGTGAGTGGATTGCCTGGGCCCGTGGGTTCGAGACCAGCCCAGGCAATTTGGTGAGACCTCGTCTCTCCAATAAAAAAATTTTTTAAATATTAGCCAGGCATGGTAGTGTGCACCTGTAGTTCCAGTCACTTGGAAGGCTGAGACACAGAAGGATCGCCAGAGCCCAGCAGGTTGAAGCTGGGGTGACCATGAGTGTGCCACTGCACTCCAGTCTGGGCAACAGAGTGAGACTCCAACTCAAAAAAAAAAGTAGGCAAAAGACATGAATAGGCCGGGCTCGGTGGCTCAGCCTGTAATACCATGCCTTGGGAGGCAGAGGTGAGTGAATTGCCTGAGACCACGGGTTTGAGACCCGCCTGGGCAACTTGGCAAGACCTCATCTCCACAATAAATAAAAAAAAATTAGTCAGGCGTGGTAGCATGCGCCTGTAGCTCCAGCTACTCGGAAGGCTAAGGAAGAATGATCACCGGAGTCCAGCAGGTGGACTCCGCCTCACACATCATCAGAAATGCAAACCAAAACCACACTGAGATACCACCTGACCCCAGTAAGAATGGCCATCATTAATCAAACAACAACAGATGTTGGCAAGGATGTGGAGAAAAAGGAACGCTTCCACACTGCTAGTGGGAATGCAAACTAGTGCAACCTCTCTGGAAGATAGTGTGGCAAATTCTGAAAGAACTAGAAATTGACCTTCCATATGAGCCAGCAATCCCCTTATTGGGAATATACCCGGAGGAACTCAAGTCATTCTACCATAAAGATACCTGCACACGCATGCTTGCCACAGCTCTATTCACAATAGCAAAAACATGAACTCAACCATACTGCCCATCGAAGCTGGACTGGAAAAAAAAAATGTGGTACATATACACAATGGAATATTATGCAGCCATATGAAAGAACAAACATACGGAATTCACAGCAACTTGAATGGATTTAGAGTCGATCATACTCAGTGATCTACCACAGAAACAAACAACAGAGTACCAAATGTTCTCAACTTACCAGCGAACCTTGAACAATTATCATAATACTGTAAGAAAGAAATTGGCAGTAGTGGGTAACTCCCAAGGGAGAGGGGGTAGGATTGGCAGTTGAAGGAAATTGCCAGGGGAGGGAGGGGCACACCTCATCAACAAGGGTACCTGCATAATGAACAGTTGTATACCTAACCCTGAATTGTACCCCACATCTTTAAAGTTTAAAAAAACTTTAAAAAAAAGATTTAGAATATGACATCAACTTTCTTGATAAAGCAGCAGCAGGGTATGAGAAGACAGACTCAAATTTTGAAAGACATTCTACTGTGGATAAAATGCTATCACACAGCACTACATGCTACAGAGAAATTTTTCATAAAAGGAAGAATAACTGATGCCACAAACTTCACCAGTATCTTATTTTAAGAAATTGCAGCCGGGTTCGGTGGCTTAGCCTGTAATCCCGCGCTTTGGGAGGCTGAGGTGAGTGGACTGCCTGAGCCGGCAGGTTCGAGACCCGCCTGGGCAACTGGGTGAGACCTCATCTCTACAATAAATCCAAAAAAAAAAAAAACATTAGCTGGGCGTGGTAGCACACACCTGTAGGACTAGCTACTGGAATGCTGAGGCAGAAGGATCACCGGAGCTCAGCAGGTCGAGGCTGCGGTGGACGGAAGCGGCCCCTGCACTCCAGTCTGGGTGACAGAGTGAGACTTTAACTTAAAAAAAAAAAAAAAAAAAAGAGAGAGATTGCCATTGCCACCCCAATCTTTGGCAACCAATCTTTGGCCCCAATCAGTGATCACAGTGATGACTCTAATCCACTGCCATCAACATCAAGGCAAGACTCTCCACCGTCAAAAAAATTACAACCCACTGAAGGTTTGGATGATTGCTAGCATCTTTCAGCAATAAACTATTTTTTAATTAAGGTGTATACTTTTTATTTTTAGATATAATGCTATTGTATACCCAACAGCTATAGTAGAGTATAAATGTAACTTTTATATGCACTGGGAAAACTAAAATTTATGTGACTCTCTATTGGGATATTACCTTTATCGTGGCAGTCTAGAACCAAACCCACAGTATCTCCAAGGTATGCCTGTATATTCCTATATAAGCATTAAGCAATACAATCACTAAATTACATTCATGAACAAAGTGTTACTTTTGTTTTTTCAAAGTGTTCACATGAAAAGAACACTATGAATGTGCTTTATAGCTTATGAAAGCACTGAGGTTTCTCCACATTGTTAGTATCATTATCACCTTTAATTGCTGTTATATTAAAACATTCAGGTTTTCAATTATTTTTGAGTAATCGAATCCAAATCATTTCCTCTAAGCAACCCATAACTCTACCTTAAGGAAAGGAATGAGGTGAGGCTGAGGTGAAGACTTGAGTTCAACATAGAGTTTCCTGGTAAATTCTTCTGCTTCAATTTTTGCATCCTGATGGGAGAAAGAAAGTAAACTATTTTAGGTCTACAAATATTCTAAAAGAGGCAAAGTATATAATTTCATGATTGTAGACATAGTAAGCTTTTCACAAGTGATAAAGTACATCATTAAATAGAGGAATTTTCCATGTCATCTGGGAAATAACTAAACATAAATGACAGAGATATTTATTCATAAAGAATACAATGAAGGGATGATCAGGTTTTTTTTTTAAAAGATACCAGTAAGCAAAGTAAGAGAAGAGCTGACTGGCTGAATAATGCTACATTACTACAGTCTGTTAAGAACAATTAAGAAATGAAAACACAGGAGTCCTAAGTGTCTTAGGGTGGGGAATAGGAATTTAATTGGTTTGGGTTGTTTTCCCTTTTTCAATTTTTAAATTACCTTAACAAAGCTAAGACTGTATTTTTCGAATGCCATTGCAAATCCATAATAGCAGTTCCAGAGAACTGAGGAAAACTTACATAACTGCTTTGCACTCTTAAGCATTTCAAAAGTCTGTGAGGTCTAAATCACGTTTACGTTAATACTAAGATTGTTGCCGAGCGTGGTGGCTCAAGCCTATAATCCCAGCACTTTGGGAAAACAGGGTGAGAGGACTGCCTGAGTTCAGGGGTTCAAGACCAGCCTGAGCAACTTGATGAGACCTCATCTCTACAAATAAAAAAATTAGCTGGGCACGGTGGCACGTGCCTGTAATTCTAGTTACTTGGAAGGCTGAGGTGGAAGGATCACCTGAGCCCAGTGGCCATGAGTGTGCCACTGCACTCCAGCCTGGGTGACAGAGTGAGACTCCAACTCAAAAAAACAAAAACAAACAAAAAAATACTAAGATTATTTTCACTAGGTTGAGATTTGCACAGATGGTACAAAAGCAAGAGCAGGTAAAACTACTGGTACAAGAGGCAATGGCAAGCCGGGCTCGATGGCTCAGCCTGTAATCCCGCACTTTGGGAGACGGAGGTGAGTGAATTGCCTGAGCCCACAGGTTCGAGACCCACCTGGGCAACTTGGCAAGACCTCATCTCTACAATAAATCAAAAACTAGCCAGGTGTGGTAGCGTGTGCCTGTGGTTTCAGCTACTTGGAAGGCTGAGGTGGAAGGATCGCCAGAGCCCAACAGGTGGAGGCTGCAGTGGCAGGGAGCGGCCACTGCACTCCAGTCTGGGCGACAGAGTGAGACTCCAACTCAAAAAAAAAAAGAGGCAGTGGCAAAGTGAAATAGTCATCATCATATTCTACATTGCTACACACCTGCAGTTAAAAAGAAGAAAAATAGAGCCAGCTTCACTTTAAAATTTCCATGATGAAGCAGTAAAAGTTAATTTTACTAAATCTCAATGCTTCAATAGACATCTCTTTTATACTGTGTATAACGAATTGGGAACCCCAGCAGGGTACAGTGGCTCACAACTATAATCCTAGCAATTTGGGAGGCCAAGGCGGGCACACTGTTTGAGCCCAGGAGTTTGAGAGCAGCCTGGGTAACACAGAGAAACTTTATCTCTACAAAAATAAATGAATGAATGAATAAGTCCGGTGCCTTGATATACGCCTGTAGTTCCAGATATTCAGGATGCTGAGGTGGAAGGATCACCTAAACCCAGGAGGTCAAGGCTGTGGTGAGCCATGATCATCACGATCATGTTACTGCACTCCAGTCTGGGCAAAAGAGCAAGACCCCGACTCCAAAAAGGTGGGAACTCCACTTAAAGCACTTCTGCTGTATACCAAAATAAGATGATCAGGGAAAAGCACTTTATGACTGAGTCTACTGGAAAGGAGGACAAAGCAACGGTGGTTATTCAGACTTGGGTATTTGGTAAACATCTTCTCAAAAGCAAACTAAGTCTGTAATGGTAAGGAAAGTAACTGATAGTATTTGCTGCTAATGATAAAAATTAGGGGCTCTCAAACCAAAATTAGAATTTTGTAAAGTTTATAATCACTATTCTAAACTTGATAACTTGTACTTAAAGAATTTTCTAATAATACTGTTGTTGAAATTAACAAGTAAGTTATTTTGCTGTCTTAACCCTTTGCACTCAGATGTCCTCTCAGAGGTGACATTGTAAATCTAGCCAACCACTTGGATATTCCCTCTCAGGGAACATAAAGAGATTGCTGGTGATTATACAGGACAAACTTATTCAAGTGCAAATTTTTCAAAAATGTATGTTTCCTTGAAATTTTCCACTTAAATTGCACAAAAAAGCAGATAAAGACATGGAATAGATATTGAGATATGATCAATCAGTTGAGAAGTGGTTTTCATGAATCACAAGTGCATTCTTCCACATTGTCTTCGAACAACAGGTTGGACAATAAATTATCTATTATTAATGTAGAAGGAAGAAAATGAGACTGCATTGTCTGCTCGAATAAAAAAACACTAGGTGGAAGACGTCAAACAAATTACTACTGCACAGCATTTATCAAGGAACCTGCAATGCATGCCGGTGACTGTTTCACACGTTACTACATGTTAGAAAACTATAAAATTTTAATCTTTTTGACACAAATAAATTCAATGTCCAAAATTCCATTATAAGTCAAATATCATTACAATAAAATAATTGGTTCCAATGCCATATTATTTAATATGAAGTGATTAGTTTTTTACTATTTCAAAAAAGTACAGTCAAGTTGCTGGCTGGTGATCCATGAGACGTCTCCAAATGCAAAGAGTTAAATAACAAATCTGGAAACATTGGAAGATCTGCATAACTCAGTGAACCAGTGTTTTCCAAATAACCAACGAATGCCATTATAAAAATCATACATGGATAAAAGATTAACTCAGACTGCAAGACAAACTACTAGACTCTAAAGAATATCCACAATGATCTGGAGAAAAGCTATTAAAATACTCACTATTCCAATTACTTCTCAGTACAAAACTAGATATTCTCCAAATACTCCCAACAAAATAACATATCACAAAACAGATTAAATGAGGAAGCAAACATGAGAAGCCAGGTGTTTTCTATTAAGTCAGACATAAAAGAGATTTGCAAAAAATGTAAAGCAATGCCACTCTTCTCACTTAATTTTGTTGCTGTTGTTTTGAAAACTATTGTTTTCATTTAAATGTTATTTCTGTTACTATGTAATAGGTTTGTTATTTTTAAGTAAATAAAAAATGTTTTATCTCTCAGTTTTAATTTCAATCCCACTACAACAAAATACCTTGGGGATTCCTCAATCTTTAAGAAAATAAAAGTAATCTGAGACTAAATGTTTGAGAACTTATGTTTGCTGTTCTAAGGTAAATAGATTTTAAAACTGAAAAGATCTTTGATTAATTCCTTACCGCTCCTATCTGTCCACTCAGCAAGATACCACCACACAGCAACATGAACACCACTGTGAGACACTGATATACCAAGGTTGTAAAACCTTACCAAACTGTTTGTACAGTGCTGCAAATGTAGGTGCACAGTGGAAAGTTCATGAACTTAATTGTCAGATTGCATACATTTAAAATAAACTTCAGGCTGGGCACAGTGGCTCACACCTGTAATCCTAGAACTGTAGGAAGCTGAGGCAGGAGAATCGCTTGAGGCCAAGAGCTCAAGACTAGCCTGGGCAACACAGCAAGACCTCATTCCTATATATAAATAAATAAAAATAATAAAAATAAACTTCATGAAAAAATATATATTTTCATTTAAAACATGTTCTATGGGTCCTTATAGAACTTGCCAGATTTTACAGTACTACTTACCAAAAGTTGTTCCACCAGTTTCTTCACATTCTGCCCCATTTCTGGGGATTGTGATCCACTACATGCTAGTTTTATTAACATTGCAAGGAAGTTCTTACATTTCTTCACATTTTCTATCATTGTCTAAATACGGAAATGTAGATATAAACAAACAAAAATGTTAGTGAGGAAAGAATTCAAGAAAATGTGTAAGGAACTATATTTCTATAAGGTTCTAATGTGAGCTTACTGGAGAAAGATCAGTCTGAGCAGCTGCTGCATTCTCTGCAGTAAGATTGGGCTCATTCGCGGAGGTGGATGATGTTCCCAAACTTGAAGGCTTCAGGGAAGTTACAGCATTTGACGGCTTTACAGGAGTAACTGTGATGACATTGGTTGGCACAGCCACAGACTGAAACGAAAGACAATGCACAGTTAGATGTGCATTACTATGATACATTAGTGGGTGTCTCATTTCACACTTAACAAACCACAAATTCATTTTGACAACTTTGCTTTAAGTTTTGCCCAATGAGCCTAAGACGATGTAACACAGTTATGGGAACTCTGGAGTCTAGCAGGCCTGAGTTTCATTTTCACCTATCTAGTTCACTGCCACCTACCAAGTACTGACTGCAGGCAAGTTAATTAATCCTGTTAATCCTCTCATTCCTATCTGTAAGAAACAAAGATAGCAATGGCACCTACTGTCCTAGGGTTGTTTGTGAAAAATAGTGCCAAGCATAGAACTCCACAAAAAAATACTATTAATACTTCAAAAAGTATTTGAAATAGGAAATCCTTATAAAAAAATACAGAAAATTCTGCTTTTTCTTAAGTATAAAGCAGACCAATTAACTGATTAATTCATATTCAAGTAAACTGTTTTTATGTAGACCATTAGAGTAAACATAAAGAATATCACAAAATGTGCTATCATAATTCACTTTGAAAAGGATGTCAGTTGTTCTTCTACCCTCTAACAAAATGAGGTGTGACTCTACCACCATCTGCAGGACAAAAAGCTTACTACAAAAAAACCACAAGTCAGGGAGTAATTTAGAAAACCACATTGAGATAAAGCCACAATCCCGTTTTAAAGACAAACACTAAATGTTACAGGATACAAGAAAAGTTAGGGGAGAGGGGCAGACCCAGTGACACACACCTATAATCCCAGCACTCTGAGAGGTCATGGCAGAAAGACCACATGAGGCCAGGAATTCAAGACCAGCCTAGGCAACACAGCAAGACCTCATCACTAAAAAAATCAAAAAATTAGCTGGGTGTGGTGGGGCATGAGTATGGTCCAAGCTGCTCAGGAGGCTGAGGTGGGAGGATTATTTGAACCCAGAAGGTCGAGGCTGCAGTGAGCCATGATTGTGCCACTGCATCCAATCTGGGTGAGAGTAAGACCCTGAATCAAAAAAAAAAAAAAAAAGCTTTTTTTTTTGTTGTCTTTTTTTTGAGTTGGAGTCTCACTCTGTCACCCAGGCTGCAGTGTAGTGGCGCTACCACAACCTCAACCTGTTGGGCTCAGAGGATTCTTCCACTTCAGCCTTCCAAGTAGCTGGAACTACAGGCATGCACCACCACACCTAGCTAATTTTTTGATTTACTGTAGAGATGAGGTCTTAGCAAGTTGCTCAGGTTGGTCTCAAACCCCTGGGCTCAGGTAATCCTCCCCTCTGCCTCCCAGAGTGCTAGGATTACAGGTGTGAGCCGCCACGCCCAGTCAAGGAGTCTATCTTACAATCAACCATGAATTCTCTGGACTACCACACTTAAGAAAGGATTATCTGGAATTTTAGCAGGTGGTTAAAATTGTCTTTGAGGAGGAGCTCCTCAAGGGAGAACTCTTCCCCTCCCTTATGAAGCAAAATAAGGCAAAAAGAAATGTGAGCTTAGAAAAGGTGTCCCGTTGCTTGCGAGTAGAGGGAGCATTACGGTTTTCTACTTTCCTTGTCAGCATTTTATTCTGTCTCCAGGACAAAGATATCTTTTATATAATACTTTCCAATATAGCTACTATCTGTACCTTACCATATAAATGCATCCTTCATGCCAACTGTACTTCTTAAGGGGCAAGGAGAGGTGCATCATCTCAGTCTTGCTCCATCTCCTTAATCTCATTTCAGTGTTGGATAGACCCTCTTAAATGCAATCAGTGTTGGATAGACCCTCTTAAATGCCATCATAACTCTGCCTTTGACTTGCTATTCTAGACCAGTCAATGGTATTTCCATGTTTTGCAAGACTGCATGGGTACGGACTAGCCATGTCTTGGGAAACAAAAAAGGGCTGGAGTACATATAAAATAAATGTATAAAGTCTGTTATATAGAGAGCCAATGAATTATACACAAATTTAGCATTTCAAAGAGGGTCATTTCTACACTTGTCTGTCTGAAAGAACAATCACTTTAGGTTTGTTCATATTCAATGAGAAATACTAATTCTAAATCAAATTATTTGCATATTAGATTCCAATCTAACAATCAGCCAAACCATATCTTCATCATCAAATACAACATAAAGGTGAACACAAAATTTCGAACAAGTTATTACATTATATTTATTAGACTGAGCCATTTTTAAAACCATTTTAAACAAACATAGATACCTATTAGTATAAAAATACTTTTAAAATTTCTTAATACATAAGAAATTTTGTTTCTTTACAGTCAATTAAGTACAAAGAATTCTATTTTCTCATATTTCCAAGAAGTATCCAAAACTGAGATTGCTTTATCTCTCAAAGCAAAACCAGATATTATTAGCTTCATTCTTTGATCATTTGCACTTCTCTAGACTACCACTAAGGAGTAACCCAGCTTAAAATATGCATCAACCAAAATTAAGAAAAAAAAATGAGCTGGACATAGTGGCTCGCTCCTGTAATCTCAGCACTTTGGGAAGTGGAGGCAAGAGGACTGCCTGAGCCCAGGGGATCAAGACCAGCTGGGCAACCTGGCAAGATCTCATCTCTACAATAAATCAAAAACTTAGGCAGGCATGGTGGCGCACGCCTGTAGTTCCAGTTACTTGGAAGGCTGAGGCAGAAGGATCACCTGAGCCTGGCAGATCAGGCAGATCGAGGCTGCAATAGCCATGCTCATGCCACTGCATTCCAGTCTGGGCAACAGAGACTCTGACAAAAAAAAAAAAAAAAAAACCCACAGTCCACAACCAGTGATAGATACATATACGGGAAAATAATCCAAGGAAAAAACTAAGCAACCCAGATATACCATTTCAGATCAACTATATGTAGAGAATCTTTTTTCATATGGTAATATATCATTTATTTATTAACAAATTAGGTAACAAGACTGGTAGTAGAGCTAATAACTACCATAATTCCAATATGGTAATTAGCATGCATAACATTTCAAGATAACTACAACATGAGGAAATAGAAAAATATCAATGACTTCTGTTGTCAGAGAGTTACAGATACTAACTAATACAAAGTAGTACTCCATGGCTCCCTGGTTTGAAGCCTATATTTGTAGTCGAAATAAATTCTAAGTTTTAGTTTGAGCTTAATAAAGATTTTTTTCCTCATCTGAATTCAGACTCCAGGTTAAGAACTCCTGGATATCCTTTTTATAAAAACTACAAATATAATTAGTGTTCATCGACTGTGATTACTAACTCAGTGAAGACAAGCTTTCACTTTCTAGAACACTTAAGACTTTAATGAATCTTCACAGAGCACAGAAATAGAATCAGGGCTGTAGATGGCAAGGGAAAGATTAAAGTCCATGGATGTAGAATCCCTGATACACTCTGAGAAGTAACATCCAACAAATTCATTTTACCACTAAACCAGCTCCCAGAAGGGCCCTGAAGAAAGATGAGTGTAGTGGAGTCCTTTCCATTATCCCAGCAAAACACAGTTTGCTCTCTGTGTCCTGAAAGCCTATAATGTACAAATGGCATTCTTAAGTATCTAGGATTATGTTGCTAAGTAATGTCTTCTCTCTACAATTTTTTTTTTAACCTGTGGCATTATGTATGTACTGAAGCTTTAGAAAACCCATCCAATGAAAGAACTGATACACTCAAAACACTGCTGGTCTCAAGCATTTAAACCTCTTCATAAAACAATATGATGATAGATATCAATAGGCCTAAATCCATACTCTTAGGCCCAATAATCTCCTTATCCTCTTTTATCCTAAGGGAAAAAAACTAGTTTAAGATCATTGGTACAGAGGTCATTAAGAACAGAGTTCTCAGAGTCAGATACACAAACCTAGGCTCAAATTCCCACTTTGCCACATTATTACCAGAAACCAAGCAAGTTTTTTTATCCTCTCTAAGTCTATTTTTTTTACATACAAAATGGAGATACTTTCTTATTGTTAGGTTAAAATATATATCCCAGTGGACCTCCAAAATGTTAAGTCAGATCCCTGGGGAGGGGTTGTACGATACAGTAACACATGAAAGATGTAAAGAATTGCACAGAAGTTAGACTGGAAAATATAATTTATTTAGAAAGCAAATGAGAGAGAGAGAGAGAAAGAGGTACACCTCCCCAAGGTAGGAGAGGGGGCCAAAGCTTAGGAAACATGGCCGTGGCCATAGCTCAAAGATGGGATCCACTGGTTGTATTACATATGGCTTGACCCAAAAACTGCCAGCCTAGTAAAGTATTAGAACAGGTGAAGTACAAACTCAGAAGCAGTATACTTCATCTTCCAAGATGCAGCATACTCACTGAATCAAAAATTTCTGTGTGATACTATGTCCCCAGCAGGGACAAAAATACACAGACTGGGGAATCAAGGAGAAACAGCATGAATCATCATGAACCCACTTATCATCACTCCCAAAAACTCACTGGAGGACTTTGTGCTTCCCATTGCTGACCACAGTGAGCACACTTACACCACTGGACAGAGCAAGAGTCCTTTAAACTAGACACTATAGCTGCTCTGTCACTTCTAGTTCCTGTGTCCAGGGACCAGCAGTAAAGAAAGTTATCTTGCAAGGATAACTCCAATTATCTGGAGAAACAGAGTTGTTATTATATAATGAGGCAAAGAGGACTACGTGTGGTGAAACTAGGTGATTCACTTTAATGCTTCCTGCTATTTCCTTGCCCAATTGTGATGATAAATGGACAAGTGCAGCATTCACAGCCTTAAAAAGTATGGTGATTAGGACCTCCAATCCCTCAGGGATGAGGGTCTGGTCATGTTACCAGTTACCAAGCTACCAAGACCAATACAGCTAGCAATCAAGGGTGAGGGGAATCTAGATCTCACTAGTGGAGGAGGGAGATAATTAATATCAGCTGCAACCTGAGACCAGCTGTAGCACCAAGGTCTGTAGTTCATCCTATTAACCGTCTCTTTTTTGTTTGCCCCCAAAAGAAGCCCATTAGAATCTAAGAACAGTTGATCTCCAGCATGTCTGAGGAAGTAGATCCCAGTGATGTAAGGGGTAGACTGTGATGAACCATCACAAGTAATGATCTGTATAGTCCCAGGTAGCACTGGGATTGCTAATACACAGCCTCCAGTTGTCAGTTCTATCAGAGAATCACATTGCCCAAATGAATAACTTTTCCCGGACAGTCCACATCCCATGACTGATCACAGAGTGGGAATTAAGGCCCAGCTGGCCATTGCCCAATGGGACAATGCTGGCAAGCCATCATGTTCCAAAGTTCTCCACTAGGTTGGCTGAGGCTTTATTGGGCCTGCATTTAATTCAAACTCTTACTTACTCGACTTCCCTTCCACAGGTATTAATCCCTAAATATCTCATACTCCAAAATTTTATCTCAGCACTTGCTTCGAGATACTACAACACATGACTATTAGAAGGATTTACATCGATTCAGTACATTTAAGTAAAACTGATATTCTAAGAAAATACACCATGTTTATCTTGTTTCCCTACCTCCAACAGTTCCTAGTTTGATAAGTGTCATCATGCATCACTGAATTGCTCTCTTCAATGTCACAGTTAGCAACTTATACATCTGGCAGGAAATAGCTAAATAATAAAGATAAGAGAATAACCAGTCTACAAACGGTCACAAGTAAGTCACAACTTACTTGTACTGAGGAAGGCTTCGGAACAGTAGTTACCACAGTAGTTCCTACTTGTGCCAATTTCTCAACAGGTGCCACTGACACTTTCTTGATTGATTGTGAGCTAGAATTCTTGGGAGTGAGGGGAACAACATAACACAAAGTCATTGGTATTAGTAATTTAGAATCAAGCAGTACTATGGCTAACATTAAAACACTTTACCATAACAAACTTATTTGTTGTAACTGGTTTGACAACCTTATGGGTTTTATACACATTCTGTACTATAAACCTAACTGGTCAACTGGCCAGTTGACACATATTTCATAATTTTTTAAGTAGGAGTTTCACTCTGTCACCCAGGCTGGAGTGCAGTGACACACTTACGGCCACTATAGCCTCAACCTGTGGGCTCAGGTGATCCTTCCACCTCAGCCTTCCAAATATCTGGAAGCACACAGGTGCACGCCATCACACCTGGCTACTTTTTAGATTTATTGTAAAGACGAGGTCTCACCAAGTTGCCCAGGCAATCCTTTCACTTCTGCATCCCAAAGTGCTGGAATTACAGGTGTGAGTCACTGTGTCGGGCCTTATTTTATATTTCTTTTTTTTTTT